TAGGGATGGCATCTGGCGTGGAAGCCAGCCGTTACTTAGCTCCCACAGGCTGTGTGGACAGTCTCTACTTGGCTTCTCTGGACTGCTCAGCTCACCAATGCCAATGACTAGGCTCTGAGGGCTGGTGGGAGGGCCCGAAAACCACCAAATGCACGGGAATAAGCTTACTCACCTAGTCCAGGTCATCAACCATCACACATCAAGAGCAAAAGTTCTAAGCAGCAAGACAATTCACGTAATTTTCAGAAACAGGTATCTACCTTTAAATAGGAGTTTTAGAAGAAAAATGACAGGAACAGTATTTCATAAGCTTAAATATAAACAAAACAGTAATTCTGAAACTCACAGGATTTTACCTTAGAAGCAAATATATAAAAGACAAAGGTAGAAAGTTTAAAAAATTCCCAATAATCAATCCTTTTTGCTACTACATGTGACTGCCACGAAGAACAGCCCTGAAAATGTCAACACAGTACTGAACAGAGCCCGCAGAGGTGGGGGCAGGGCTGCTGGCAGCTGCCCCTGGTTGGGAGCTCACGTCATCCCTGTGGACCAGGAGCACACCCAGCCCTCACAAGCCCCAGAGGTCACCTGAGCACACGGTGAGCCTGCACATTCACCGCTGTGCTGTTCTCTCTGGGGTTACAGGTTGGTTTTTTATTCAGCGAAAAATAATTCTAAAGATCAAAAAAGGTGTCCAAATACACAGTACAAATCCAGTTACACATTTAAAATTTATTAAACTTTTTGGTCAAAATAGTTGGAACAAATATATACAATCTCGTTTTACTAGAACTGTTTTTTCTTATGGATCAGGGCTGACGAATGCTTGAACAACTCTGCTCCACATCAGACATAAACTGTGTCGCAACCAGGATACAGTATTATTTTTAAATAAAAGTACTTTACGTTATCAATTTCTAACTTAATGTGAACTAAAGGGACATTCTGCTAATGTTAATTCAGAGGACTTTTCTTTGCATATCATTATTAATCAAAATATATGTTAATTTTAGCAATAGCATGTGCGTCCTGGCTCCACAGCCCTCCGCAGGACACTGAGCTTGTGGGTTAAATCCCTCAGAAGCTCTAGTTACTTAGTGTTGGTACACCTCTTTATTTTCTGTGTTGGGAAGTCTTGATTTGATATCAGAGATCTTTTGAAATAAACCAAGGTACTGGAGGCATCACAAAATTAAAACTTTTAATTCTGGCTTGAAATGCAATATGAAATTTAGCATGCATATAATTTTAGCAATATTTAAAAAGTACATTTCTCACCCAAAGTATTTTAAAAAGATTTAAAAAGCACGCAAGTTTTCAATTATTGTGAATTTGAGGTGTACTTTAAGCCAGGTGTTAATTTGATAGCAATTTCATTACTCTTGCAATTATGTAACTTTCTTTTGGAGGTGGACTGAAGTTACGGCCTTCCCCAGGCCTTACCTGGTGTAACAGAAGGACTATTTCTGCAGAAACAAGACAGTGATGGCAGCCTGGGGTCGTTAACATGTAGAATCTGAAGCACTACACACATCATGCCCTTCTGCTAAAGGACAAGTTTCCCATTTTTTTTTTTTTTAGTTTCTCAAATTACTCTGCAGAATTCTGCATAATTTTATTATATGTAATTGAGACAAATAAAAAGACAATACTTATGCTCGCATTTAAGAACACTTTGCAGTGTGCTGTTTATTGAGTGGCTACACCAGAAGGTGTGATGGTCGATGTGTGAGTGACCTGCCTGCCTGGCGGGCCGCAGCCACACGCCTCAGGTGGGCACACCCGCCTGGCTCTGAGGGGCCAGCCAGGAATGGATGGTGGTCAGGCTACGTCCAGGTGAAGGCCATGGGATGGCGGAGAAAGAAGATTGAGCTGGGGACAGAAATGTGTGACAACACTTCTCTTGGAGGTTAGTTTTTGGTCTATGAAGAGGAAAGGAAGGCTCAGACTTAAATAAATACATTTATTTTGAGTAATGGCCTTTATTGAGCACTGTCCGCCACGTCTGCTTTGAGTGGGTTTTCCCCTTGAGCAGCAGCAAGCATCTCTCCCTGGGCTAAATGCAGAGCTACGCCAGGATTCCAGCTGAGGTCTTTCCTGTTAGGAAGGGAAGTAGGAAGTGCATCTCTGTTCTTAATGGAGAGGACAACGCCTTTTCTTTGACAGAAAACAACGGCTTAACTATTTGAAATAAGACTTGGTCCTCCAGTTAGCTTTTTTAGTTGATTTTGTCCTGGAATATATACAAGTTATTGGTGGCAGCTACAGCAATAATGTTCTCCACGGGGTGCCAGGCTGTGTGAAGGATCTTCTTGTTGAAGTCTAGACTGTCCACACTAATCTCATCTTTCTTCCTTTTACCACCTGTACATACTTTCCGGGGTTTTAAGCTGGCTCGGGGTTTGCTGTTCTCTCTTGAAGCTTCCAGTGTAACATCCCGCCGAGTGTTTCTATCAAACATTCTAAAGAAGTTGTTGTAGGACCCCGTCATGATAGCACTGTGCAAAAGAAGAAAGGAGTGTCACTACAAGTGCCTGGCACGACAGGCAGGAAGCACGGGACCTAGTGTGGCTGGCACCCCATGTGCAGGATGGCCCTTCCTTCTATGAGGCCAAGTAATTTCCAGAAACAGAAATGAAATACTAATGGTCAGAAAGCACAGTAATGATTTCCTGCTCAACTTTATGTACAAGCATGTAGACATTAATCACATATGTCAGTGTTTCTATACTCATACAGTTGATCAAACGATACTTTATCCTTAAAGTTTCTTTCACATAAGTAACGTACATATATAGTATAATAATAATAATAGAAAGTCTTAAATAGGGGCTAGGTATGATGGGAGCAATTTAGAACTCCATTTCCCAATAAGCTCGATATGATCAATTTTAATGTTTCTGCAGCTGAATAATCCCATTAAAATCGATATGCTTATGAGTCGTATTAGACGGATACGTCTCCTCCCCCCACCTCCCCAGTGGTTCTGTGCCCTTGAGCTGAACTATACTCCCACATCCAGCTTACACTGGCAAAAAGTTTTAGTCTTACTTTTACTACAAAAATGGCTCAGTAATAGCAAATGCTGCCATAATCTTATCTCTGGCTTCAGGACAGAATAAGTCTGGTTCTTGATGAGCAAGGTCTGTACTATGACGAAGTCTGCTGACTTCATGACAAGGTAGCCATGGCAGGTCGCTAAGCCTGCTTTCTGCCTATCTATCTCACACCCACAGCCCTTCGCTTACTCACGCATGGTGAGTGGCCTTTATGCTATCTAGGTGCCAAGATCTCCGGGCCACTATATCAAGGTCACTATGACTCCAGGCTTTCCCTGGCCACTTGCAAATACTTTCGAGTCTGATTTTACCTCATCTAATCCCTGCTCCCCACAAACATTTAGAACTACAAACTCCTTGGTTAAGTCAAATCTATTGTTAAGCACAAGGATATCTAAAAGCAGAGGAGCTGGAGATGTGAACCACGTTTATTTGGCACAGGGTCTCGCTATGCAGTTACGACTTGTAGTGTTTCTCCCTTCTCAGCCTCCCCAGCACTGGGATGACAGGTGTGTGCCACTACGTTTGGTTTCGGTGGCTGGCACGGTGCAGTGGGGGGTCCGGGGGCAGGCACAGCACTTGGGTTACTGGGGATAGAACCCTGGTCCCTGTGCTTGCCAGGCAGGCACTTAAGACTGCTGAGCTATCTACCCAGTCTGAGATGTGAACTATGTTAAGGGCATTCCTGGAACAGCAGCACTATGCTTAGTTTCAAAACCAGTGTGCTTGATGGTCTGCACTCCAGGGCAACACACACAATGTTTAGAAAAGAATAAAAATATACTAATCTTAAGCTTACAATTATGTTATTAAGGCTACAGCAACTGCAACAATTACTTAGAATACGGACCAGCAAGATATTTTTCAGGAAGAAGTACACATTTCCATTCCTGTAACATTAAAAAGCAAAGCAACTTGTATACAATTCTATGGCTACGTACTTTTAAATTAAGAAACAATGCCTGCACTGGAGGTGGGCACTGCCCCAGCTCACCTGGCATCCACCTGCAAAAACACCTGGCCCAGGATCACTCCTGTACCCCCCAAAGAACGGAAGAAGGTGAAACAGGTGTAAGTGCACTCACAAGTAAGCAGCTCCATCTTTCTGCTAGACAACCTAGGGCACAACAAGGCCCTGCCACACTGCAGGGTGACAAGCACAGCACGGAAGAGCTTGCTCCATTTTACCCTTCTCAATAGAAGCATCCAGCCAAGAAGGTAAGAGTATTGGCAAGTGTGAGTAGATAAAGCAAATCCTCAGACGTTCTTGAAAATGCGTGACTGAAATATTCTGTAGTATTTCAGACATACCGACATGAACGAAGAATAGCGTAGTGAACATGCCATCACGAGACAGTTAGACCTCATGTGTGCCCTCAACAGTGTGATTCTCCATGCTGCTGCCAAGAGACCAGCTACTCCTTAAAGTGGGTCTTTTAATCTTGTGCACTCTTTTTTGGGAAGTACTAGGGATTGTTTGCCCTGAGCTACACCCCCAGGCATTTTTTAAAATTGTGACACACTGTCTTACTTGGGCTGGGCTTCACCCTCAATCCCCCTGCCTCTGTCTTTCAGAGTGCTGGGGCTACAGGCACGTTTGACGCCACCTGCACCTGACTGAGAAGCTTCAATCTTAATGTACACGAACCATGTGGTACTTTTCTTCCCAGCCTGCGTTTTTAGGGCATTTTGGAAGTCCCCCAGTCTCTAAATCTCCTAACACTCCCCTGAAATTTCTTCAAGTCTTGTAATACTTGGAGCATGTTCACTGTACAGTGTACGGCGGTGTCCCTCAGCTAGCCTGTTGGGACGTCAACACAGATCTGGAAGGCCATAAGGGGTGAACTTTGCTCACGTCTTGGCAGGCTGTTCTGCTTATCTGCTAAGTCACAGACCTTTCTGGAATACCACTCATGCTGGAAGCATATTCCACAGAGAAATGAAGCATATTCTGCTTTTCTTAAGTGGTCCTTTATACACACTTCTAAGCTCCCAGCACGCTGAAAATAGTCAGAAGCTTACCATCTAGCATCAGCACACTAAGCTGAGCTCTCCAATACAGGGGGCTGAGGTGGTGGGGACTTGAACAGGTGTTCAAGCGATGAGGGATGTCTTCATGAGTAGATTCATGCTCAAGAGCCTGGGGGAGGTCACTCGAGACTAGATTAGGTCTTAAAGAACTACATTAGTTATGCAAGAGTGAGTTATTCAGGAGAGCCTGGCTGGATCTCTTGCTTCCTCTCCCGCCACGTACTCTCTTGCACACATTCTCTTACAACGTGATATACATCAGTCAGGAGAGCTTGATCAGAGGCTTAACAATGTAACTACCCAAACTTACACGTTTTTTAAAGAGTATCTGGTACAGAGTCTCACTATGCAGCTTGGACTCATAGTGATCCTGTTTTCAGCCTCCCTGGTGCTGGGTTATAAGTCTGCACCACCACGCCTGAATCCTGGTCCCTGTACTTGCCCAAGCAGACACTTAGTCCACTGAGCTATCTCACTGGCCCCCTACAGGTTTTTTTTTCTCCCAAACTGTGAGCTAAATTGGAGGGTCCTCTTCTTTCTAAAATCATCCAGCCACAGGTATTTTGTGTCAGTAACAAAAGTGGACAAAAAAGGCTTCCACTGTGGCTGTGGAGAAGTCTACTTCCAGCCTCAGTGTCTATTCTCTATGCCACTTTTCCTTCTCAGGCTGCTTTTCATTCTGGTATGCATCTAGAAGCCTTTATAGTCACTGTGTGTAGATTTCTGTACGCTGTATTCAGTCTTCCATGGAAGAAATTTTTTTTTTTTTTTTTTGCGGAACTGGGGATTGAACTCAGGGCCTTGCGCTTGCCAGGGAAGAACTTATTCTACTGAGCCATCTCCCCAGCCCCTTATGGAAGAAAATTCTTGACTCTCATCACTTCCCATATTCTGTACTTTCGGATACTTCACATGGACGTGTACCACACATCATTCTTTCCTTCATGCTTTCAACCTTTCATGCTTTCTGTTTCTCTGGCTTATATTTTGGATAACTTCTTACCTTCCTTGCAGCTCACCAATTCAAGATCTCTTTAGCTAACTGATCTGGCATTTTGGTGGCTCTACAGGAACTGCAGAAGCCCTAAAGGTGCTGGCTAGGATAATCCATCGCAGAACAGCAGCCTTATCTGTTCTCACTGGGTTTGCTATGGCTCCTGAGTACTCCCTACCTTGAGGTGAGAGGTGAAGTGCAGGCTTGCTTACCACCTACCATAAAAGCAGTGGATCTTTCAACAGCTGCTATACAGCTCCACTGCCTACATAGCTTCTGCCTCATGGGAACCGATGCCAGCACAAAGCTCACGCTGCTTCCCGTGACCTGAGAAAGGAGTCCTTGGCTTCTCTGAAACATTCCAGAGCAGCAAGTGAGTCTGTAAAAAGGTCTAGATAGGTCTATCCCAGGATACCCAGGACGCTGGCCACATGGAGGTATTTAATTAACTTTCTGTATGAGGCTAAAAAGAAAAGAAACAGGCTGGGGAGATGGCTCAGTGGAATAAGCGCTTCCCTGGCAAATGCAAGGACCTGAGTTCAATCCCCGGTTCCACAAAAAAAAGAAAAAGAGGGAGTTGAACCCAGAACTGAAAATGACTCAAAAGCCCTGTCTGGCCCCAAGTACGGTAAATCTCCACAGCTGAATGGTGGCCTCAGAACCATATAATCAAGGTACAGAGATGGCACTAATTTTATTTTTTTGATTGTTTGAGACAGAGTCCTACTCTGTAATTCAGACTGGCCTTGAACTTGTGGTGAGCCTCCTGCCTCAGCTTCCTGAACATTAGGATTACAGATGTGCACCACCAAGTGCAGCTGGCTAACATCTCAGATTTCTAGCCACCCAAATCTAAGGTCTCAGATAAATTAGGACTACTTACATGAAGGTTTTCCTCATAAAACCCTAAGGGTCCGGGTCTCAACTCTACCTTATACGGGCCCAAGCGACCTTACTCAGTGGTGGAGACTGAGGTACAGCCTCCTGATGTCCTCTGGTGTCCCTGAAGCCACAGGGCTTTGGAGTAATTTTCTGTTCTAGGTTCTAGTCCCTCTTTATTTGTGGATCTTATGAAATTCCCCTTGGTTATTCATGTGCTCAACTTTGCATGTGAAGTGGTATTTATTGTGTCACAGCCAGCATTTCTATGCTGAAGTACTTGAACTGCCTAGCCACTTGTGCCCAATATCAGAACTCCTATTCACTTAAATTCTAAACAAATATTCTACATAAAGATAATCTCTTTTCATTATTTGAAATGTGTGGCTTTTAATTTGGTATAACATTAAAGACTTAACTCTCAGCAGCAGTGGAAACAGTATTTAAAGTATATGCAAAAAATAAATTATGGAGGCCCTGTCACTAGCACACTACAGACCACCATTTCAGAGCAGTGTGTACGCAGAGTCCCGCTGGCGCTCTTCTCCACGTCTCTCCAAATGTAAAGGCAGCCGTACATGTGAGCAAGGCAAGGCACTTCCCTACCCATTCTTCTTCAGCTGGGTATAATGAACAGTTGCAGTCAGTCATTTACTACCTATGTTGTACTATGCTTCTGTCTAAATGTAGGCTGACTAGGACGTAAGCTATCTGCTCAGATGCCCTTCTTCTCTGATATCAGCCAGCAAATAAGGCCTAGAAAGCACAATCCCTCTTCTGCTCCTCTGGACAGTGACAATTCCCAGTCTCCCCATGGTAACTGAGTTTGAGTCCCAGTCTGAAAGCCCAGATGGAGACCCTGAGGAATTAGCCATCATTTAGAGTGACTCTTGACACGATGCAGGCTTACCTGTCTGAACCATTCCAACAGCACTCAAACTTGTCAAAGATGCAGTCATTCTCATACAGGGAACAGAGCTTGCTTCGCAGGTACTCATGCACCTGGTGGGTCTCCACAGGCCTGTTCTCCATGTTGAGGTCCCAAACCTTCACAGACAGGTAGTCCCTGGTCATCATGTATCGACCACTATGGCTGAATTTGACATCAGAGATGAATGAAATTATTTCTGAGAAAAAGGATCTACTGCTGGGATCTTCAGGCTCTTCAAAAACTAAAAAACAAAATGAAGTACTTCAATCTTCTGTTTTAAATCAGAGGACAGATCATTTTCAAGCTCAAATAGGTTTGGGACCTTCACCAAGGCTCTGGAGAACTCAGTTTTGACAGTGCTAAATCTCCTGACCTTTTGGGCTTCTCTAAATTTTCCTTTTTCCCTCAATTCTGTAGGTAACAGCTGCAGAGGCCCTACCACCAGGGTTGATGGGATGAATACCCAAAATATACACACCAAAATTTCTTGCAGATTTGGAACAAAAATCAGATGGGCAAGGCCTTGGCAGCATCTGGACATGTACCAGGTTTGGGACCATGGCATGAGACTGAAACCATGACTACACAGATGCTTGTGTTCTCATGGCACCTGGCCTGAGCACATGACGCCCTGCCCCATCCACGTCCCTCACAGGAAGAGGACAGCTGATAAAGAGCACCTCTAAGGAAAGTGTCAGCTTGTGGGAGTAACCTGGCAATGTGGGGGTTCACTATTAATTTCCAAGTGGATCCACTGGCCAAAGCTAGTCAGCAATAAAGGTTCTACTTTGCATATTGAATAGTCATATTCTAATGAGACTTAAATGAACCTATACTGCTTGTTAGCACTACACAGGAAGTTAACTTGAAGGGCAGGCTAAATAGCTCAGTGGATTAAAGTGCTTGTTTAGGTAGACACAGGGGTGTGGAGACCGATGCCCAGGCCTGCCCTGCTGGCCCCACCCCTGGGACTGGGCATGATTGTGCGTGCCAGTAATTCCAGCCCTTGGGAGGCTGTAAGCAGGAGATCACTACAAGTCTGATCTACAGTGAAATCCTGTACTAAAATAAAACAAAAGACAAAAGTTAACTTGAGGGGCCGGGGAGATGGCTCAGTGGAATAAACGCTTCCCTGGCAAGCGCAAGGGCCTGAGTTCGATCCCTGGTTCCGCAAAAAAAAAAAAAAAAAAAAAAGTTAACTTGAAGCTGGTTACTGTAACATTTAGCCTTTATTGAATTAAATTACTTTGCTGACAAATAAAAATTACTCTTAAAATCACATTGTATAACACAAAACATGGGTTATGATTTTCTATATATTTGAGCATACTGTTTTCAGTTTAGACCTGGAAATCCTTGGTCGCTGACCCTCCTGGTGTCTGGAGTAGCTGGGACTATAGAAATGTGCCACCATGCCTGGCAGACCTATTATTTATGGCATCAACTAGAGAGAACTTCAAGGCCCAGTGGACTAAACTGTAGACTGTCCCTCCACAGAGCTGGCTTTGACTCTAGCAGAGCTCAGTATGAACACAGATCGCACCCACAGCTGACATGGCCACAAGTGAACTGCACAGTGGCAGTCTCAGCCTGCATTCTGCTACACAAAGACAGAGATTGTAAGTGGTTTCTATCTGGCCCCAGACCAGGAAGTGGTCAGATGAGGCACTGGGTCTGGGGCAGAAGTCAACACTGACACCAAGACCCCTTGTCCCACAGCAGTCAGCTTAGGCTGGTCACCAGCAGGGAACAAGATCTCCAGATCCACTCCCCATGAGCGGTGGCCATAGCACAGCTACTGCGCTTTGCAAAAGGCAGAGCCCTCACACTTGCCTGAATATGGAGAGGGTAAGATAGGCCTTCCATTTGTGCAGATGGGTCAGTGTTTGGAAAAAAGAACTTAAATGATCCTATTAGTAAGCACCAGGTACTTACACTTAGAGTGTCTGTCACACAGGGCAGAGGAACGCATGTCACATAGCCAGATAGTCCCTTTGCTGCTGCTGTAGACAAACACATTGCACTGGTGTGGGTGGAACGCGGCAGCAGTGATGACTTCCGTCAGCTCTTCCATGTTAGCAGGCTTGATATCCACAATGTCTGGAGCACAGTGTTAAGGCAGAGGTTGGTGACTGGGTTAGCTTCACCCAACCGAGTGAGGGAGACAGAGGAACCATGGAGTGAGTTTAAGAGACCAGACATTAAGGTGGCTGACCAAACACACTGTACTCCAAAGGCTCACACCTCTGGCAGGGAGGGATGCAGAAAGCAGACCGCAGGAGGTACCCGACAGAGGGTCGATCAGACATAAACCCGACTTGTACCATGCTGCCACGACTAGCTCATGAACTCCTAACAGCAGGGCAGCACACACTGAAGGATATATGCAAGGAAGGTAACTGAGGGCTACCTACGCAAAACCCAATTCTTACACACACATTTACAAACATAAGAATACTGCAAAAAAATTCCAAAAGATATTGCTCTCCTAATTACTGGACATTAGGGAACAGCTCGTTCTGAGTCATGAGAACAGTGTCAACATAAATTATCTCGATCAGAATAACAAGGGAAGAATTTGCAATAGGGCTATATACCTTCCAACTGAGAAAACCAACAAACTAAATCCATAGTTCAAGCCACTAGGTACTAGAGGGATCATGACCTACAGACTACAGAGCCTTAGAGTTGCTCAGAGTCAGACTGATGTGTGTGCCGGTCTGGCAGAAAGAGGGTGCTGACAGAGTCTGATGATTCCTACTTTAAAGAGATAGCTATAGCTCAGCATAGTGCTGCACTCCTATAATCCCAGCACTTGGCAGGCTGAGGCAGGAGAACTGCTGAGAGGTCAAGGTCATCTTGAATTCCAGAGGAAGACTGTCTCAAACAAAAACAAAAGAGACAGGAGAAAGATGGGGCCTGGGAGAGAGGTAGCTAGAGGACCTCACAGGATAGAATACCAGAAAAGCTCCCACGAGCCATAATCCTGCTAATCTTACCTACGAGGACATGGGCACAGACTGAGTATCACAGGCACTGAGGTAGCCCCTCGTGGCTGGGAGAGGTCCACAGTGACTGGGCGCCTCGAGTGCCTACAAGAGTCCTGGGTGGCACAGATGGGCTGAGTCTGGAAGCAGGGAACAGCCATTTCAGGAGCCCAAGGCAAGACACTGGCCGAGCCGCAACAGAACAGAGTTCTCATGTGTAATTAAACACCACTATAATCCAAGCCATATTTGCAATTTTACTAGCTATTTGCAAATGTAGAAGAAAAAGTACCCAATGCTGACTTTTCAAATATACTCTACTTAAAGACTCTCTGTCAGAATCATGTAGGCCATAAGCTTCAGGTTCATTTGATTAGAGAGGACTTTCCCCAAGACAGAAAGGAATTTGTATTTTTAGGGACAATAAATCACAAGAGAACTCACATTACAGGCTACTAAGTAGCAAACTGTACTTAAACGATTAGACTCTGAGATGTAAGACTACAAAGGCACGTGAGATATAAATGAATAATAATCCTAAGAAAAATGCAGAAATAACCACCTGGTGAAGGATACTAAAGCTTCTATCTGTGATTTCTAAATGCCATAGGTTTATTCTCAGGTCATCTGCAGAAAGATACGTTTCATGATCACTATTTACTGAAATGGAACTTATATGATACATGTGAGCATTTGCAAAAATTCGCCGCGGACTTGCTTCTACCATAAGGTCCATGGGCTTCAATATAGGGACCTAAAAATGGAAGGAAACAGGCATTCAAAACAAAGGTCATAACACACGAAGCAGGTAACAAGACACAAATTTCTGTACAGGCAACATACCCAGATGACCACTTAGCAGAGCTATGCTAACAGGCACAGAACAGAATAGTTAAATCTATTCAAAGTTTTTCCTCCTTGTTTCCAATACTGGGGCTAACACACTCCTGTTGAAGACACAAAGATTAACTAACCCTAACCAACTGCCTCCAGAGACCTGGTGCTTTACTCTCCTCTGTCCCCTGGTGGACACAACCCAGAGGCTGGACAACAGTATCTTGGAAGGTGTAGTGAAGACACTCCCTTTGTCTTCTGTCCTTTCTCTGCAGCTGGACGCACAAACCTCCTGACTGCACTAGTGATCTGCTTCTCTGCATCAACAACATGGGCCTAAGTGATGAGGCTGTACACGTGTAAAAGGATGGGAGAACACTGGGGAGCTAAGGTCACTTCGTTGATTATCTGCAGCTGGCTCCACAGGTGTGTTCAGCCTGAACCTTCACGGAGAGCTGGCCACTTACATGTGGATGTATGTCTGGATATACATATATAGATGTATATATATATATCTTTATACACACACACACACACACACACACACACACAAATATGTGTGTATATATGCACACACATTATATATTATACTTCATCAAATGCAAAAAAAAAGGAAATGGCATGATGAGTGTGTGCTGAGAGAGGCTTCTGGGGCACACACCACTGTGTTGAAAGGGCAGAGATGGAGAGGAAAGTGACTGACTAGAGAATAGGTGAGCAAAGTCAACAGTGGGGTCAGGAGCAACAGTGTCCACAGAGGAAAAGGTTGTACCTCACTTTTAGCTGGCTAGAAGGGAAGCTGAAGCTTCAAAATAAATAAAAACATTATCATTCTCTGTTATTTTGTAATCAGACACCAGAAGACAGCCTTGAAGGTTAGGCCAGTAACAAACATCGCCAGTTTTCTCTGGCTAAATTCTGTAAAAACGACCTTGAGAAAATACATAGAGAGACCAGCTCTCATTTTAACCCAATCAGTGCAGACCACACCCTTAGGGTCTCTAGAACACTAAAAGCCAGGTCTATCATTACAGTATAGAAACCCACACTTGCCTGTGAGGTGAATTAAACTCCTCCTTAACACACACACACACACACACACACACACACACACACACCCTGCTCATGACTCTATAACAAATCTTTAATCAAAACACATGACAATTATTCCCTAGAGTCTTTCTTTTAATTAAACTCTTCTATACCACTAAAATAACTTCAGAGAAAAAAAAAAAAAATCAAAAACAGCAGCAGCAACCCTTGTCCACCTAAGGTCAGACAATGTAACAGTTCACGGTGAACTTTGAGAGGCAAGAACTCAAAGGCAGACCCAGTCTGCACCACTCCTCCAGCCCACGACCTGTACCCTCACAGTGCAGCCAAAACAGCAGCTATTCTTCTCATACGCCTGCAACAAAATTAACATTGGCCCAACAAAGCCTACAGTTCCTGCAAATTAAATATGTCAACCCACAGAGCTGTGTGTTCTAGGACTTGATGAGAAGGTCTGGGCTCCTGAGAGGGCTACACAGGCACTTGGGGGGTGCTGCAGGCAGGGAAAGAGAAAGACAGCACTCAACAGGTCTCATGCAGCCCTCACCACCAAGATACTTTCCGTCTCACGAGGCTGACCATTTATCTGGTGAAATTTCAAAACTAACATGACTGGCATTAAATGTGATTTAGACCGATTCATATGCAAATGCAGCACTAGTATAACAGAATCACTTTTAAAATAAAAATTATCTTGCGACCCATAAATTTCTTTAAACAACACTGCCCTTCTTAGTTTGAAGGAATAGAAAACCTGGTGACTGTCAAACAGGTCAGAGAAAAACTGTCCTGCTTGGCCTACAATTCACTATCTATAGCTAGTAGGGATAGAAATGGCCCTCAATGGGCTGCTGCTCCCCTCCATATGGCTAAAGGAATGGCATCAGAATAGGTCACGTCTACTACACAGGCAGGCCTGCCACACTGCAACTGGCTTGTGCCAGGGAAGGGGCACTGTGTGCTGCACTCTTTCCAGCTGCACCCTCACCCACTGACCTTAAATGTGCTAGATAAGGAGTCCTGACCCAATGAAAATGGTGTGGTGGTGCCCAAACCTCACTGAGAAATCAGACAACCAACCATTTCCAAACACCACCTACACCCTCTGGGACCATGCGGCTTTCTCCAGAGTGCCTCTAGGCGGGTGTTGGTCTTTGTGCTGGGCTCTGTCCCTGGCAGCACTTCCTGTGACTCACCCAATTATCTGGGTAGGAGTCAAGCTTTTTTCTTTTTCTTTTTTAAAAACTCTTTACCTATTTAATTGAAGAAACTACATGTGTGCACCAATTATAAGACACTCAGATTTTAAGTTTTACTCAACACTGATGTAAAAATATTATTAGAAATGATGAAATGTGGTCAGGAGACAATTTAATAATACAGGTGTGGTGGCACATGCCTGTAATCCCAGCACTTGGGAGGCTGAGGCAGGATCACCTCTGAGTTCAAGGCCAGCCTGGACTACAAAGTGAGTTTAGGGCCAGGCTGAGCGAGACCTTGTCTCAAAAAAACAAGAAACGAAAAACAAAAACAAAACACCAAGAATAACAACACTCATAGAGGTAAAGAACTGAGAAACACCAAAATTGTGCCCTAGCTAGCCTAAGAGGAAACTCCATTAGTCCTGTCATTAATGTTACCTTGCTAGGCCATAGCTCATCTTCCAATCTGAAACCTGAGCTATTTCCCAAGGAAGTGCTCTGAATGCCAGGTGCTGCTCAGAAAGAGGTCAGCCACGGATTAAACATGAACTTTTCCCTTAGCACACTTAGCTGTATTTTCTGAGTAGAACATGACTTTTTGCCTTGGCAAAAACTTGGAAGACTCCTACTTTAAAACACACATACAGCTGGGCATGGTGGCACATGCGTGCAATCCCAGTTCTGTATTGGAGGATTGCCCCAAGTTCAAGGCCAGCCTGAGTTACATAGTGAGTTCTGGGCCAGCCTGGACGATGAAACAAGACCCCATCTCAAAAGAACCAGAACCAAAACCAAAACTAACCAACCAACCAACCATCCCCCCAAAAACAAGCAAAACCCCACAACATATGCACAAGATGATTACTATTATAATGAATAGATTCATGGTATTTCACTTAATAGTATTCTTCACACAGCTGATGCTCACTGTTCCTGATTAGTATCTGAAAAGGGCTGGAAAGTTTAAAGAAGCTGCAGTGTATACCCGTAGTGCTGTAATTCTAAAAGGATCTCGAAGTCGTCCATCTTCATCTTTTAAGTTATAACCTTCTGCTCTTTTATCCCGTTCACTTATTTTCCATAATTTAATAGTTTTATCTGAAATTTAAAAATGCAATCTCCATATTAAAAGAAAATATAACATGCATCACTATTATTTGAGTACTGTATTAGAAAACTCTGTGGCTCTACACTGGTATTAAACTGGGTATTGACATTTTCAATTATAAATATATTGTTTCATACAATAAGGATGTAAATACACATGCAGAGTAAAGAATGAAATATTGGGGTATACTTTCAAGTTGCAATGTATCACTTGCCATTTTAGCTGGTAATTCACCCCTACCCAAAGTTTAACGGAAAGTCAAGATCTAGAAAAACTTAAAATGGAAACTACCCATACAGAAAATTTATAAGTCACAAGCCACTTAAAGGAAAAATTCTTACCATTTGTAGAGAGTAGAAAATGAGCAGCATTCTGTTGTGGCAACCACCTAATTTTATTAATTTTCTCTTCAATTTCTAGACTTTTCAAATAGTCAAACTCTGGTTCATGACTTTGAAAGGTACTGTAAACATTATATTCTCCCCTAGAATGAGGACGGCTTTTATTCTGCAAGGAAACGTAACAGATGTTTCAATGAATAAAGCACACCGAGAAAACTTTAGTACTAGCAATCTGAGTATCAGATGATTGTATTTATTTCCTTTTGGGACGGGGTCACTGTGTAGTTCAGGCTGGCCGTGCACTCACTTCTAGGCCAGGCGCGCCTCAACTTGTGGCAATGCTGCCTCCTGAGTGCTAGAATTACAGGTGTGCACCACCACGCCTGCCTTACGTGTACATGCTTCTACGAGAATGTCATCAGACTTGGTTTGGACGCACTGTCTCTGCAGCTTCTGCCCCATCCAGGAAGCTGGAAACTGTGAAGGAGATGCAGGGAGTAGAGGCTCTACTGCTTATAAACTGGGCTTGAGAACAAAGCACCTCTTGAGCCAGATGCAGTTACAGGTCATACCAGTCTCTGGTGGTTACCCAGAGCACATGTACCCAGCGCACATGCTAAGCAGAACGGACTAAAGTTAGATTCGTGGAATTTAGTCCCAGGCCTACTGCCTGCTGCCCTGGCCACTCTGCCCACAAATCAGAAAAATGTAGACCCCCCCACTACAATCACCCTCAACTTCACCCAAAGGCCCAAAACCCGTTACCCTCAGCTGCTGCCAGTCGAGAGTGACTCATCAGTCTCTAGAGTGCATAGGGAGACCCGCCCACTCTAAATGTGGAAAGGTCTGAAGGAAGCCATATAGGGACTGTGTTGAAGGAGGGTCTGTGAGCCAGAGATGCTAAGACAGGACAACTAGGAAAGGGAACTGAGAGAAGGCTCACTTTGTTCTGTGTGTGCTGACATCTGCTTTAACTGGACAATCTGTCCAGCAGGGTGAAGCTGCACACCTGGGGGAGACTTAATGGCTGGGCAGACTAGAGCTGAACTCCTGAGTGCAGGTATGCCTGTATGCTCCCATTTTACACACTAGTGTCACTATTAAGACCTAACATGGGTAAGGACCCTGCCACTGAGGAAAAACCACTCCAACCAGCTATGGTGACATGTTATCTATAATCCCAACACTGTGGGAGGCTGAGCCAGAAAGATCGTAAGCTTGAGCCCAATGTGGGCATCTGAACATTTCAGTAAGACACTGTTTCAAAATAAAGAGGGGGAAAAAAAACCCCACAAAATAGAAAGGACTGAGGATATAGCTTAGTACAAAGGCCATTGGTTTAATCTTTGATTAAAAAAATAAAACCAAAGCAATCCCCAATACAAAGTGCCAACCACACTATTAGCCACGCTTTCTACTTACCTGCTGCCTTCTACCCAGCCCGAACTCCCCAACAGGTTCTTAGCAGCCTATCTCCCTGTTCTACCAGTTGGCTGCTTCCCCTTCCACACCTTCAGCAATCCTCCAGGCTTCCACAAGCTAAGATGCACACACGCCATCTCTGAGCCTAGGGGCTGTGGCACTTAACTGAAGTGTGTCTTCTCAGTATGCTCTAATGCCAGGAGAGCAGAGAGCAGATTTGACTGTGGGTGAAAACTTAAGTCCACACTCCCAGCAACACAGGAAAAACTCAGGCTCACAGAATGCCTCAGAAACGACAGACAGAATCCAAAAAGGTGGGACCGGGAGATGGCTCAGTAGAATAAGTGCTTGCCTGGCAAGTGCTGAGTTCAATCCTCAGTTCCGCAAAAAAAAAAAAAAAGAATCCTAAAAGGTGATGGAAGGAGGAAGGGGGGAAGAAAAAAGGGGGGAGGAGGAAGAAGAGGAGGAAGAGGAGGAGGAGGAGAAGAAAAGGAAGGGGAAGAGGAAGAGGAAGAAAAGAGGAAGAAGAGGAAGGAGGGAGGAGGAGGAGGAGGAAGAGAAGGGGACAAAGATAAAAACAAATCGTTTAGGGGGCTGGTGAGATGGCTCAGTGGTCTAAAGCACCTACCTAGAACAAGCTAAGCAAAGCACAGGGACCACGGTTCAATCCCCCAGCACCACATGCCAGCCAGCCCCGCCCCCTGGTGGGCTGAGCTGGCCACACACACACACACACACACACACAAAAAAAAAAAATCGCTTAGGGTTTATCAAGTTGCAGCTGATCAAGTTAAATATAAATACCTTAGGGACCTGCTCCTTTACAAGTCTGCCTTTACATTCTGAGTTAACATTCATTAACTAAATACTAAACTTCTACAATATTCACTATATACATTTAGAGCAAAACACTTGACTTTTTAATCATAGTTTCTTTTACATTTGAAGCTAGTAGGGGAGGGGGGCTGAGACAGGGTCTCACCATGTAATTCAGGCTGGCTTGAATTCACCATATAGCACAGGGTGGCCTCAAGCTCCCGATGATCTTCCTGCCTCAGCCTCCCAAGTGCTAGGATTACAGGTATATGGCACCACGTCTAGCTTCTAGCATTTTAAAAGTTTAAGCAACAAGGAAACTAACATAATTTTCAAGAAACAGGACAATTTTCAATTACTATCCTAGGACCTATGAGAGGTAGTGAGTATCCTATCTTTTGTACAGATATTAACAGCAAACCTTTTTAAAGTACAGTTTTACATTTGACAACTTGTTCAGTAATCCCTGTTGAATGTTAAGATACATGGTTCTTTTTTTTTTTATTGGCTACAGGGTCTCATTATGCAGCTTGGACTCAGAGATTCTCCACTGTCTCCGCCTATCCAGAGCTGGGATTACAGGCCTGCACCACCACGCCCAGTGCAACACATGCCCAGTCTCAGTGGCTGGCTCAGCATGCTCAGGTGTGAGGGTGAGGCTGGAGCCACATTGGGGGGGGGGGGGGGGAGGAAAAAAAAGGGAAAAAAAAAAAAACAAAAAACCATAAAAGTCTTTCATGACATAA